AAAAAAAATTTTTTGTTTGTAAATGTGCAGCACTGTTAATGTTCTGGTGAGACGTCTGTAGGTTTTATTTTACGACCACGATGAAAATAAATAAATTCCAACTTTGTGATGGTGCACGGTGATCTTTCAAATGTGTGTATGTCTCTCTCTGTATCTCACAGAAAGACAACCACCACTTGAGGCAGCAGCTAAAAGACACACAGGAGCAACTGAATCACACAACCAATAGCTTAATTCACCCCGAGGAAGTCTCAGCTCGTGTGAATGAACTCAAACAAAAGTTGCGGACTGGGACAGAAATCAGGTGCGATGAAATCAGAGGAGTCCTAAGTCCATGGGTGTCAGACCTGCCCCAGTCGGATCCCTTAGGGAAGGAAAACCCTCGACTCCATTTGGTTGAAGTGAAAGATACTTTTACTAAGAGATGCTTGTTGCAGTAAAGTCAGGAGGAATCTGATTTTCCCATGCATCAGTACAAAATTATTTCCTTCAGTCCCTTCCCTTCAGTCCAAATCCAGCCAATGCGATGCTGTTGGGATGTTTTGGGAACACTGAGGTATCTGGGCTGGTAATTTTCCACACTTGGGGCAAACGGCCTTGAAGATGCCTTGACACAACCGGTTCCATGTTGATCTGTTTTTCTTCAGCTGTCATCCCCCTTCCCAAATTCCCACACAACAGTGCATACCAATGTATACAATTTTATTGCCCATTTTCCCCCCTCCCCCCCCCCCCCCCCCGGTCCTTTGATGGCAGGACGCCAGTGAGGCGCCAAGCTGAAGATGGTGGACCTGACAATGGGAATGGAAGATACATCTGGAAAGGTTTGGGTAATTCTAGTTCTAGGCAGCCCAGTGAAGCTCCTCAGGGCGCTTGCACCCAAGGAGAGGCATTTTCCTTTTGAACATTTCTTTGCAAAATCCATGAAGAGTTTTTCCTGGGGAATCACGTCTCCGCCAAACTGTGGCAGGTTCTCCTCTTTGCCTTCCACTTCTTCTTTATCCTGACTTTCCCCGATAGGACATTATTTATTTATTTTAGTTCATTGTTTAAATCTCCATATTATTATTATTATTAATTATTATTATTAATTATTATTAATTATTATTATTATTATTATTATTATTATTATTATTATTATTATTATTATTATTATTATTATT